CTATAGAGCCGCCTGTAGGTTCATATCCTGCCTGTCAAAGTAATTCGTAAGGATCGCACATGTATGCCGACTGTAGGGAAAATTTTGCTATCTGAACTGGCATACTCAGACTAGCCATCACTCCCTCGTAAACTAGTTTACCTTTGCCTCCTAGTATTGTCTCCCGACAATTCTCAATTGTTTCCATATACGTTTTATAATGCTTTTCAGTTAATTTGCTTTATGTGTCCTCTAAGCCTTCATTATTTCTCCTTCAAATACTCGTATTCCATATAGATGCTATTATTTAAATCTCTCACTTCCAGCCTTTTTCTTTTCTCTGCCAGCCTTTAATCGATATCATTGCCCTTCAATACTTGTTCATTTTGCCCTGTATATCCTTTCATATCTTTTTATTGTCCCGTATACGCCTATGTAATAAATAACGGTAGCCATTCGTAAGTAAATTTAATGTAATTGTTGCGGAAATATCGTATCGTACGGAAATATACGCTAATTTTTAGATCACTGCCCCTAATAACCGCCAAAAATGGTATATTTTTAAAAAAACGATTCGTCTATCGTCTGTGAACAAACACTAGCGTCTAAACCTATGCCCCGTAAGGCATTTTTTTTCCAAATTGCAAGAAATTCCAGTGCTCCATATGCCTCGAGTCGAAAGCCATGTCGCATATTCGAAAAAAATCGCTTAAAAGTTTGCCGCAGAGGAGTAGTTTACATGAAACTCGTAAACGGAACATTTCTTAAATTTTTAAAAAAACGCAGGTTACAATTTTATTTTCTTTAAATTATCTTTGTAAATAAAAATTAGAACAACAGTATGACTTAATAAACGTTGACATAGATCTGATTTTCACAGTTAACTACTGCAAATTTTCGAAAATTTCCAAAATTAGTTGAATTTTGCGTGCGCCCTTCCTTCAATTAACAAAATTAGACTTTCCTTAAGCAAATAAAATTTGTATGTCATAATTAGTCTTTTATTAAGCGCTCTATGTATATATTTGAAAATGTTTAGTAATTTTCTCACTTACATTGCCCGTGCAAATTGTGATTTTTTATTTCCAGTTTTTAGATTCAATCTAACACCCCCCACCCCCCCCCCCCCCCCCCCCCCCCACCCCCCCCCCCCCCCCCCCCCCCCCCCCCATCCGTTCTTAATCACCCTTATAAATAAAATGCACAGACCCCGTACATAGACGTAACAGATCATAAGCGCAACCCGCTCGCCCATTCGGAACTTACTCTGGGAATGGCGCAGACTTACTTATATATATAGCCTGCATGTACTATTAATAATTCTGATTTAATTATATCCTTTTTGTAATTTTATAGCGTAATGTGTATGCTAATATTGGTTTTTATATCCCATTTCGGTTTATGTATTGAGCATTATGTTATTTATAGATTTCATTATTTGTTACAGAACGCTAAATAACCTGTTATTGAGCTCGTAAACTCTCATCCACCCCATTACATTTTTTTTAAGCAAGAAAACATGTTCACTTGAAATTTAAAAAAAAATGTTTATGCCAAATAGCACTACCTTTGGATGATTCAATTCAGTAGTTTCGGCTACTAGTTGTTTGAAGAAATTGAATATAATTTCAAATTAAATGCTTAGCTTACGGGGTGGGAGCGTGGTCCATTAGACTCGTTTCCTGCACTCCCACACAAAAAGAAAGATAGGTCACCTTTGCACGTTGTCTACGCGTTGTTTTTCAAGTAGATTGTTGGTGCGGCTACTTAACGCGTAAGACGCCCACCTCATGGTTTTGAACCGCCGAACTCCGATTAAAACAATACGGACAGATATACTCGCGATATCTGGTTTCTATCCTCCAGTGAAATTTTTACAAAATTTTGCTATACGTTAAAACTATTCTCTCGAATGGTGATATATCTCGACCGCAATGAACACTGGATAATCAATTTGCAATATAATAATAATTATAATAATAATAATAATAATAATAATTAATAATAATAATAATAAATAATAATAATAGATGGAATGCTGCATGTTTTCTTGGTCTTGTTGCCCCAGCCTATCACAAGTGCCCAGCCGGGCGGGACTTTCCACTGTTCGGAGGGGGACAGGCGGAGGCGGCGGCGCAGCCCCAGCCGGTGCGGCAGTGGGCAGTAGCGGCGTGGGCGGGGGCGTGGGCGGCGGGCCCGGGACGAGCGTGAGCGGCAGCGGGCTGTGCCTGCCGCGGGCCAAGCGCTGCGACGGCTACTTCGACTGCCGCAACCGGCGCGACGAGGAGAACTGCCCCGCGGGCCACGGCGCCTCGTGCGCCCTCGACCAGTTCCGCTGCGCCGACGGCCAGCGCTGCATCGACACGTCGCAGCGCTGCAACCACCGCAACGACTGCAGCGACAAGAGCGACGAGGAGAACTGCAGTGAGTAGCGCGCGCCGCGCGTCCTAGTGGGTTGTCGATGTAACTAACGACAACTCCTTACGAGAAAAATGTTACAAACTTCTAGGGCTTGTAAAGGCGTCAACATGATTGCTTCTGGACACAAAAAATATAGTGGCAAAAAGAGTAAGCCCGTTAAATCTTGTAATGGGCTTACTCTTGTGACGTTTACCCCTGAATGATAAGCAACTCGTCTTGCACTAGTGTTCTGTAGGCACTCGAAATATCTTCAACTGCGACAGAATGTCGCCTATCAAAGATTATTGCCCAATGAATTGCCTGTCAATCGGGATACACGTTTCAAAGAAACTTCATTATGAGATTTCCAAATGTTTATTGGTGAAATGAGATCTTATGTCTTTTATTTGCCTCTCAAGTTCGTAACATTTATTCTGAGATATTCTGCGTGTATATATTTATCGACAAAACACTGTTAATGATGTAAAACGTTTGTAAGGGAAAGCCAATTTACTGTGCAGAAGAAAGGCAAGAGACAAACGTGAATTTTTCTCAATAGATAAAGGAAAATGAGACGAAGAGCCCTAACGAGATTGGAGTAGTGACTGTAAAGCTGTTTACAATGTTATTGAGGCTTATTTGTGTTTTAGATTTATACAATGTAAAGGGTAACTAATGTGTTAGGATTGTTATTATAAAATAAACATTATTTTCATTTTTGATACTAGGTAGACTTTAGCAGTATTCGAGCAGCAAAAAAGCATGACATTTTAATTTGTTAGTGGATTTTAATTGTTTAATATCATCTGGTAACTCGTTTTAAAACATACAAGTATTATTTGTAGATTTTAGAGCGTACGGTATGGCCTGGGGGATGGATGTTTTTAAAGTTTGATTTTATTTATAAACGTAAAAGAGTTCATCTATTAGAGACATAATTTTTTCAATCAATCAATTATCATCCGTTCGTAATCAATCATCCACCCGCAGATGATCACTCCATCTTTTTATTAAGTGTAAATCAAAGGCAGACCATCGCCCTGGAAACCGCATGACAAAAAGGCGTAAGCCTCGTCCTTGGCTCAGGCTCAGATACGAGGAAGGCCCTCGTTGCACAGCCTAATTTTCCCTCGCGGTCTCCTAATCGCTGGCGTGTCCCGCAGACTTCCCGGCGTGCCACGTGGGCCAGTTCCGCTGCGCCAACGCGCTGTGCATCCCGGCCAGCTTCCGCTGCGACGGCTACCGCGACTGCCTGGACGGCACGGACGAGCAGAACTGCTCGGCCATCGCGTGCCCCGAGAACAAGTTCCTGTGCCCGCGCGGCAACGCCGACGGCAGCCCCCGCTGCATCGCCCGCTCGCAGCTCTGCGACGGCAAGTACGACTGCAACGACACGGCCGACGAGGAGACCGCCTGCTGTGAGTTCCCCCTCCTGTTTATTCAGTTTTGCTTGCTTCTTATTTTTTTTCTTAAATCAGTAGGAACAACGGTGGTGTGTGTAGAAGGGGATAGGGATAAATTTATTTCCCCAAAACAGTACAAGGGACCATCTCCACTTTTGCTCAGTGGATGAGGGGAAACTGAGCGAAATACAAACAAAAAGAATGAAAATATGTCATTGGTTCATAATTACAATGATATTACAAATTATAATAGTTAAAATTGGCTGCTGGGTAATAATGTTTAAAATATAATTTACCAATTTATTAAACGAAGAAAAATACAGTTTAAAAGTTTTAAGGGATTATCTAAGTCTGTTTAGTAAATCGGTCAATAAAATAAAATTTTCGTTTGTAAAAATTATACAATGCTTGTATTATCAATAATTATACATTTTTACAAAAATTAAAATAATTTTTCAGCATTTGAGGTTTACTTGCTGGCTCGGTGGAACCTGAAAGATTTGTGTTCAGACGTGGCTTAAGTAGTAATGTACGGAAATTTGAAACATACTTTCAACAAAGTTTTAAACATGTTATTGCGATGTTTTATAGTGGACATTTCGAGGAGATATTTTTTCCCATTACGAACTAAATGAAGTCCTTTTTTCATTATATGTTTAAAAGATAAAGCTATGAATTCTTGTATAATAAAAATGCAATGATACAGTCTTAACTTTCTTCTTGAAGATTTTCAAATATTTGTACTACCTGCTATTACGAAGGGCATCAAATAGGCAGGAACGTGAATACAATGGGGCTTTCTTAGGAGTTGATGTAGTTTTCTCCTCCTCGCACGTTTCAAAATCAATAAAGTTTAAGATTAGGCTTTCGGACAAGTTACAAGCCCCTGATTCACTCGTTTTATCTGTGCCCTGTTGTGTAATTGGCCTCAATTATCCCACTCACTATAACCGCTGAGGAGGGAAAATTTCCTCGGTTCATCCACTGTGTTTATTCAAACTATTTTCACAGTTTTCTCTCTTTCATTCTTTTCACTTTAGTTTCACTCGTGAGACCGATATGGAGTTATCCGATAAATATTTAGAATGGAAATGAAATCGCCAACTTGTAATTGAATCGCTGACCGGAAAAAGGAAGAAAATTCGTGCACCTATGTTTCGAGAAAACTAAAAAAAACTTACTGACGCTTATAATATTGTTGCTACAGTTTTTCTATGCTTTACAGTCTTGGAAATGTATAAAATTATTTTGTTTCCCGCAGCGAGAAGTAGCTGTCCTTCGTTGGGATGCGAGTACAAGTGCCAAGCGTCGCTCACGGGCGGCGCGTGTTACTGTCCGGAAGGCCGCAAGATCGCCAACGACAGCCGGACGTGCATCGGTAAGTAACGTCCTTCAATCACATTGCTTGCTCCACAGCCTCCTCCTCCTCCTCCTCTTCCTCAGCCTCCTCCTCCTCTTTCCTCAGCCTCCTCCTCCTCCAATCAATTTACGCAATATTTATAGAGAATCGAATTATACAGAATCAGTTGTCTGACGGCCTCCTTTTCCTTCTCCCCACAGACCGGGACGAGTGCGCCGAGTGGGGCTACTGCGAGCAACTGTGCACCAACACTGACGGCTCTTACGAGTGCGCCTGCGCCAACGGTTACACCTTGCAAGACCGCAAGCATTGCGTAGCACCCAACGCCAGCGCCCTGCAGCTGCTTTTCGCACACGATCACGCAGTGTGGCGCATGAACGCCCGTGGCGAACATAAACAGCTTCTCACCAACGCCACGGGCGCCAGCGGCGTCGATTTCCACTACGAGCGCGACCTGCTCTTCTGGTCAGATGTGAAGACGCGCAAGGTCAGTAGAATTATCGAACATTCCGGCATTCACATTGAAGTGAAAGAAATGAATGAAAATAATGAAATGTACGAAATTATTGTTTGCCTAATTTGATCGGTCTACTAATTATAAATTAAACGAACCATGATCTTTGAGATGTTATCTAAATGGAACTAGAGACCAATATTAAATTTTGACAATCTCATTGGTATTACTCGCGCAACCTTTCTTGGGCGATGGATTGAAGAAATGCCGGTAGAGTGGGGAATGCGGGTAGTTACGGAATCGGCCAATATATTTTATGAAGAAATTCCAATATCTGGAGATCAGTCATGCCTTCACAACGTTCTCAGTAATTTGCATTCTAACTTTTTAAGGAGTTAGAGATATCTCCTGTGATATATCTTTACCTGCTTCAGTCATTTCTTTAGTTTTTTGGAGAAAATAACAGATAGATGTTCTTGTTTTCAAAAGAAAATTGTTTCAATTTTGCGCCAGTGAAGATGTGTGTGAAATGTTGTCATCAGTGCTCACTGCGAGCATTCACCTTCATCTGTTTATTGGACCAGAGAGGGGGAAGCAAGGTCATCGTTCAAGAAAAGTTGCGCGAGTAATACAAATCAAGTGAATAGGAGAGAATATCGCATTAATAGACTAGAAATATACAACAATGATGTGACCTTCAGTCACATCATAGTTGTAAAATAATTTTCATTTTAAAAGCTACATTCTTGTTTGAACGTTTACACTTTTTATAACTAAGATTGAGAGGCTGCCAGGTAAATATTTTTCAAAAATTTCACATTTGTCACAACCACTGGTGCAGTGCAGGGAATTGAGATGAGATTAGCAAAGACAAATGTGCAGTATTTTACACATAAACTACCCATAGTAGTATTCACAAATGTGAAAGTTTCATCACAGATCTTTTTTTAAATGGTCAAGGGCTAAAACAATGGTGTAAAGTTAGAGCAAAGTCCACATTACTGGAATATATAATTTTCTAAATTTTTTCAGCTTCCCAGTCTTCACACGTACATTGTATTTGATTGTACATTGCTTTTTTTTTTCTTCCCCTTCGTTATATCATTTTGTACAAAATTGCTTTTTCTACATTAAGTTTAATATCAAATAATTAAGTTTACCCAAACAAGTATAATTTATAAAATATTTTCATTGGTCATCAATACTATTTACTTTTAAGAAAGAGAATTAACACATTTTTCATTTAGTTAACTGAGTATGCTCATTAATTTCATGAAAATTTTTGATTAACTCTATGTTAATAGCACACATGCAATTAAAATTCCACTGTGCTATTAAAACTCCACGCCTATCAATAAGAATTCAGAGTAGGAGTCATATCGTTTAATTAATGAACTATAACCCAGACCTAGCCAAGATATTTTGATCAGCCATGAAATATGAACAAAAATATATATCACAAGATGATATACCTACAACAAATCATGTAAACAACGAATGAATAAAACCAAATTGGCAAAATAAACATTAAGCTAGCTGACCAATGGCACAACATAAAATATTTAAGATGAATAAATTAAATGTTTTACATGTTATTCATTTGGACTTAGGATTACAATTGAGTTTACCCCTTCTAAAATGGACCCTACAGCAAAACTGTGTCAGGAGTGACTAGTAATTTTTACTTCCCAATATTTATACATGTTGTATTCTCTCTCATACCTGTCTTTACTTTTCATGGGAAATGTTGTTTTCGTGGCTTTGTCAGCTTCTTCTAATATTTTATCCGCAATATCTTCAGTACCTTCAATTCGCAAATATTTCTTGCAAAAAACACAATACAAGATCCACTATAATAGATATTTTTCAGATGCTATACAATGCCATAAAAATAATGTATGCCTCAAATGATTAATACGTGCTTGAATTTCTCAAAATTTAAATTATTCTTAAATAGAAACGAAAAAATATGTGGATAAAGGGGGTATAATTTCACTCATGGCATAGAAGAAAACTCGCTCCTATCATCACTTGTTTTCTTTAACTTACTACTCGTGCAATTATATCCCTGTTTATCCACTCATTTCATTAATTACTATAAGCTGTAAATCCTTGAAAAAAATAGAAGAATAATTATTTTAACATACTAAGACAGATGATAATGGAAGATTTTATTTGGATGATTACAGGTTCACAGGCAATCTCTTATGGGTGAAGGTCATCAAGCAACCCCAATTGACATAACTTTGCCAGCAACTTGGTCTCCTATTGCAATTGCAGTAGATTGGATTGGAGATAAACTCTATGTTGCGGATTCCATTGGGCAAAAAATAGATGTTTTTGAAATATCTCGTGAAGGAAATGCAATTGTGTTGGGAAGCAATTTGACAAGTCCCTCTGACATAGCCCTGGATCCTACTGTAGGGTAAGATGACTTGAATACTTGCCTGTGAATTCAGAAATTGAACAATAAAGGAACAAGGTAGATGAATGTTTAACATTTTTCATTATTTTTGTTGCAGCTACATGTTCATTGCTGATAGTAACCAAGTACTACGAGCTAATATGGATGGTACTGGTGCTCGTGCTATAGTCTCAGAGGCAGCTTATAAAGCATCAGGTGTTGCTGTTGATACAATTGCAAGAAGAGTCTTTTGGTGTGATTCTCTTCTAGACTATATTGAAACTGTGGATTATGATGGTCGAAATAGATTCCTTGTTTTAAGAGGTAAGAGACTTAGTTTATTCCTTTGGTATTACTTGTTTCATATTTTTTAAATTATGTACTGGAATTTTACCATCGTGATTTTCAAGAGTTCACAATTTTTATTGTAAAGACATTGATTTATAACAATTTTACAAGGAGAGGCATCATGTTGGAAAACTAGTTTCAGACAGTGAGAAGTGGTAGGATCACATGTCAGTATTCATATGACTATATGCTCTTGTGGCTCACTGGCGAAGTAGTTTGCCTTTCGCCACTGAGGTTTCGGTTTCAATTCCCATAGAATCCCCATAGAACCTCATGTGAAATTTGTTACAACAAAACTAGTTTACATGCTTCACAGGGGTTAGTCCAAACTCTGAGAAGTGTCTTTTAAACCCTACCCCAATCCTAATTCCTTCCCAATTCTGGCCACTGAGTAGTGACGCTGGGGCATGTGGTAGGAGGTGCGTACACAGAGATGCTACTTGCTGGTCCTCTTGAAAACTGACTGCGATGAGACGTGACGGATATTCTGTTGAAATATTAATGGAGAATCATTCCTTCCCAAATATTAATGAAGGGTTACTCCGAAAGCATAAAGCGCTCAACGCCCCCTGGGGCTTGGAGACGCATTGCATTAATTGAAGATGCAACAATTTTTGTAAAAAAAACATACCATAGCCTAATAGCCAGAAATAAAGTTAAATATATCATTCTATTCTCAATTAGACTGTTGGTGTAATGGTTAAAGTCCTTGGCTCACAGGCTGAAGGTCTTGCATTTGTATCCATGAAATTAATTTTTCCTTTCGAAATAGTTAATTGGAGCGTATGTTTTAAAAATAGATGAACTAAAATTTTAAAATGGGCCACAGTACAGAAACGACTACATGGAGGCATGCTTTAAGACATTGAAAAGTGTATTTTCATAAAAATGGCTAGCTATTATGCACTATTATTTTGGCATATCAATACACTCAATATTCAACAATTATATGTGATCCTGTTACAAACTCAGGGTTCTCAATTCATAGCTTTTCCTTGTAAGGCAAAATAATGCATATATTTGTAAGGTAAAAGTTCTATAATTTCAGAATCAAACTGGAAAATAATATCAGATCTTTTACTTAATGTATAATACAAGAAACCTTTTTACTCATAAGCAATGTTACATTAAAATGTTAATTAATGAACTACATTGATTTCTCTTTCATAAATTATCTAAGGCTTCAGTATTTCCTTGCTGAATTCAATTTCTCAAAATTAATCAAAATAATTTTTTTTGTTTCAGGTCAGCTAGTCCCTTCTCCATCACGATTAACATTATTTGGAAACAATATTTATTGGTCAGATGGTACAAAACAGGGTATTATGAAAGTTGAAAAATATACTGGAGGAGGCCCTGCAAACATTGACAACATATATAGAAACAGAGATGTTCGAGAACCTAGAGCAGTGAAGGCTGTGCACAGTTTAGTGCAACCAAAAGGTGTGTTTCTATTACCTTACAGAAGCTTATCAATTATACCAGTTTTGTGTAATTTTGGTTCAGATTTAGATGAGTAGGAGCCCCGAAGTGTAAATATTTGGGGAGGTCCATTTAAAACAAAAAGTTATTTCCATCGCATTTTTTATAAATATGCTTTAATATTGTTTACTTAATTGTGTTCACATTTAATAAACTGAAAGTTGTAAAATAACATAAATTACTCAAATTTGCTTTTTGATTTGATTTAATTTTATGAACTTATGGACAGGAACCTAATTGTACAGAAAGATAACATAATGTACAACACTCATGAATAGCAAATAATCTTCTCCCCCCTACATCACATACGGTTTTTACTGTTTTTTCGACTGAATAAATCTAAATCTAATTATGAATGGCAAGAGTATGTTTTGATAGATAATTATGTAATGCAATAAAATTCATTGAATTATCTTTCAATTTTACTAATTATATTTCTACAATTTAATTACAACGTTCCAAAATATTCCAATATGGCATGGGTTATTCATGAAATATGAAATACAAAGTTTATTTTTTTAATAAATACGTTAAGAAAAATGGACAAACATGAAACCCCTTGTGCCAGCCGAAAGGTGATAGCCCCTACCACCCAGTTTAAATCTGTCCATTTGTAGAGATATTTAAAAGTAAAGCAAGGAAGATTATTGTGGAAAGTATGTGGTGTTTGATATGAAATAAAGATCAGTTGATTTAATATATATTTACGTTCAAAAAAGTAGTAGGGAAATTATATTTTGTTCCAAAATCTTTGTAAATGTTGAATGCTTTTTGTTATTTACCTTGTCAATTTGGAAATAAATTTAACTTTTTGTATGTTTTTAATTAGTTTCCAGTCCATGTGCTGCTAACAATGGAGGATGTCAACATATGTGCATAGTCACAGCTGGAGATGGTCTGGGTGTCCTAGCTTATCGTTGTGCCTGTCATATTGGTTGGAGACTTGCCACTGACCAACGCAATTGCAATTGTAAGATTCTTTCCATATCTAAGACCCCCTTTCTTTTTTTTTTTTTTTTTTTTCCCTCTATGATCTCTGTGATATTCATTCTTTCTTTATTCTCTATTCATAATTTGCATTTTTCTTCACAGTGGTAAATGAGTTCCTAATGTATTCCCAACAACGTTTCATTAAGGGAAAGGTGCTAGATCCAGTGATAGAAGGTTTTAGTGATGCTATGTTGCCTGTAGTGTCACGAAGAGCTAGATTTGTAGGATTAGATTTTGATGCTGAAGATGAATTTATTTATTACTCTGATGTACTGCAAGATGTGATTCATCGTATTCATAGAAACGGAACAGGTGAGCACAAATTAATATAATGTTGTATTTTTGCATTTATCTGAATCTTTTGCCATTTGAAAAGTTTAAAACTACAATTGTGTTATCTTATGTAAATAATAATAATAATAATAATAATAATAATAATAATACTTTTTTTATAAAAAATGGAATGTATATTTCTAATCAAAGATTTTTATTTTTTTATCTGTAGGTCGTGAAATAGTATTAGCATCACAAAATGAAGGAGTTGAAGGTCTTGCTGTTGACTGGATGTCAAAGAACTTGTATTATATTGATAGCCGTAAAGGAACTTTAAATGTTCTTAGCACTCGCAATGTAACAAATCGCAGAACATTATTAAAGAATCTTAAGCGACCAAGGGCCATTGTTGTCCACCCAAACAAAGGGTATGTACTCCTTGAAATATTTTTCTGGATTTTCAAAGAAACGTTTTTAAATTGTCATGGATAAAAAATTCTTTTGTTATCATTGACCATTTTTATGTGGATACATAGTGTATCTGCTCAGATGTGAACACATTTTACCTGGTGATGTGAGCAACAAGCTTACAAAACATGATGTTGTTATGGTTTAAACTTCAGTAAAGGCGAATGCTAAATTTCATTGTCTCAGAAAACAAATTTCATTGAAAATTAATGTTAGGCAATAGGTTTTAAACTATCAAGAGGAGAAAACAAAAATAAACTTATTTATAACTGGATTCCAGATATTTTGTTATAGAATATAAAAATGTTTTGATCATTGAACAAATAAAATAAACATTTTGATGTTTGTTCACATAAAACATTTCATTTATCTCTATTATTTATTTCCTTTCACAGACTTATTCATGCAGGTTTGTGATTTGAGCAATTAAGTCCTCATTTTAGTTATTATTAAGTTTCCATTTCTGTTTGTTCAGGTATATTTTCTTCTCAGAGTGGGATCGACCAGCTAACATTAGTCGAGCTCATACTGATGGCACTAATTTAATGGTATTTCGTAATGTTACTCTTGGTTGGCCCAATGGATTATCTGTGGACTTTGACACAGATCGTCTTTATTGGTGTGATGCTTTACTAGATCATGTACAGCACTCAAAACTTGATGGAACAGATGTAAAGACAGTCAGTTCTCGCTTAATCAGACATCCTTTTTCAATTGTTATTTATAAAGGTGAGTTCTGCATCACATTTTTTCAGAAAACAAAATAGAGGGCAATTCTAATAACTACAACTTTGAATAAGTATAAATATTATATTTATATATATAATTTTATTATTATTTTCTGTAATGATATATAATTTTTTGACATCTTATTTCACAGAGTTTATGTACATAACTGATTGGCGGTTGGATGCTATAATTAAACTTCACAAACTGACTGGAGAAGTAGAAGAAGTTCTTGTTAGAGAACCTCAAACAAATAGATTGTATGGTGTCAAAGTATACAGTAAACAAGTTCAAAGCACAGACCAGCATCATCCTTGTGCATTTAATAATGGTGGATGTCAAAAGTTTTGTTTTGCTGTGCCACAGAATAATACTCCTGGACTTCAAGTGAGTAATGCAAATTTTGAGCGGAACTGTGAAGCAAATAATATTAATAATAACAACTACTATCAAATATACTTCAAAAATTGAATGTGTCAGGATGTAAGAAATGTATAATGATTACACTTACATCATAATAATATTCATTTTGAAATTTATTTCTATATGATTTTTTTTCCTTCTTCTATAGGTGAAATGTGGTTGTCCATATGGGGAGACTCTTGATGACTCAAACAAAATGTGTAAAGCTGATCCAAATGCAGAACCTCCTGTGGCTGCATGTCCTAATGCTTGGGACTTCACATGTAACAATCAGAGATGTATACCAAAGGCCTGGGTATGTGATGGAGATGACGATTGCTTTGACAATTCTGATGAAGAACAAAATTGCACAAGTAAGTTTGTCATTCAAAAAAATAAATTAAAATTATAATTTTGGGAGACATTTTCAAAGTTTAATAGAGAACATGCTAAATGAGTGTCAATCTAAAAGCCAACAGAATAAATTTCTTAACAAAAAATACTTAATTATTTTTCATTAGTATTGAATCTAAACACTCCATCATTCAACAGTGTGATCCGTGAATGAAGTTGAAAAAAGGCCACCCATTTGGTGTACTTGCAAATAAAGGTGAAGAAAGATCAATAATAATGTGATTCAGATAAAAACAAAAAATTCAGATTGGGATAAAATACTAACTTAAACAATTTAAAATATTTATCAGTGCAATCAGTTCTGGTACTATTCTAGAGAATACTTGAAGATGTTTCAGTATGGTAATTCGATTGTTTTCTTACTTTCCAGAACCTACTTGTGGTCCAGGAGAATTTCAATGCACTTCAGGTAGATGTATCCCAGCCAGTTTCAAATGTGATGCAGAAAATGACTGTGGTGACTATTCCGATGAAACTGGATGTAAAAATGTGACATGCTCTGTTTCGCAATTTGCGTGCTCCAATGGCCGCTGTATTCCTAACACTTGGAAGTGTGATTCAGAAAATGATTGTGGTGACGGTTCTGATGAAGGAGACTTCTGTGCAGAAAAAACTTGTGCATATTTCCAGGTACTATAATTTCTCTCACAATTGAGAAAATTAAAATTACATATGGTATAGTTAAAAATTAATTAACTTTTTCCTGCTTTAGTTTTTGATTTTGAATAGACTGATGACTAGAAGTGACATTTCTATTTGTTTATTTATTTTGGTTTTCAGTTTACATGTCCACGTTCAGGCCACTGTATACCTCAGTCATGGGTATGTGATGGTGATAATGATTGTTTTGATAATCAAGATGAAGAAGGATGTCCTCCAAAATCTTGTTCCCCAAACCAGTTCAAATGTGCCGATTTAAAACAATGTATTCAAGAAACTTACAAATGTGATGGAATACCAGATTGCAATGATGGCAGTGATGAACAAGGATGTCGTAAGTATAAATTTAATTCAACAAACAAGTTACTTTTCATTTCAGTCAGAATTAATTGATTTACTGTGAAAAAGTCTCATCTCATAAAATCAATGTTTTTCTTTTCAATGAAATACTTTTAGTATTTGCAGTTTTATTTGTTTGAAATATTTCAGCTTCTGTGGCACCTGATCAATGTGATAGTGAAAAATTTCAATGCCAGAAGTCAGGTATTTGTATTCCAAAGAATTGGTATTGCGATGGAACTCCAGACTGTGATGATGAATCAGATGAACCAAAAACATGTGGACAGGTAAGAAATCTTATCAATCTGCTTAGTATTAATATAATATTACTTATTCCTTGTAATATCCTAGTTAAATTAAAAATTGTGGTTAAGTAACTACACCCATTTCAATATTATTGTATTGTCTAAGCCAGAAAAGGACAGATTTGTTGTTGAAATATGTTTTTAGTTATACAATGTTATCATTGAATTAGTATAATAATTAATGAACTATCATTTCTGAATTCATAGCTTATAATTGGTTTATTTATTTTTTCAGATTGAATGTGGTTCTGGTTTCTTTAAATGCAATAATTCACAATGTGTGTTTAAAGCCTATATATGTGATGGTAAAGATGATTGTGGGGATAATTCTGATGAAGATGCACGTCATGCATGTGGACCCCCTCCATTCAAGTAAGTTACTAGAAATCACTTACATTTCCTCCTATTGTACTGTAACTCATAGTTTCACTTCCTTTTAAAATCTGGAATGATAAATCAATCTATTCAATTGCCAGAAAAATTAAAAGTAAATTCTGTCAATTCAAGAAGTATTTCCAGAACTCAAAAGCAATTTCATTTTTTTAGATGTGGATCTGGTGAATGGCAGTGTCCTCTGGTAACAAATCGTTGTGTAAACATTTCATCTGTTTGTGATGGAAAACAAGACTGCCCCAATGGGGCAGATGAAGGTCCAGGTTGTAGTTTAGCACAGTGTGACCACCAAGCAGGACTGTGCTCCAATGAATGTCATGAAACACCTCTTGTAAGTGGAAAAGTATATCACTTCTCAATATGTGAACATTTTTTAAATTTTTATCTTCAATAGTCTACACGTCTTGAAGTAAGTTGTGTGTCTATCTATACAGATGTTGTATACTGTTTTATTACTTGTAATAAACTGAGTTACTTTGATTTAGAAAATTTTGCAGATTATGCCTTGAATTCTGAATAGTTTCTTAATTGTATTTGTACAAAATAGCTTAATAAACATCTAGATATTGATATTGCTGACTTCTGCTTTATATTATAAACAAAATTAAGTATATCTCTTTATATGGGCAGGGAGCCATTTGCACATGTCCACATGGAGAAGTTTTAAGTAAAAATGATTCCCGCACTTGTGAAGACTTGGACGAATGTGATCCTCCAGGACACTGCTCTCAGCAGTGTATAAATACCAAAGGAAGCTACTATTGCCGCTGTGTACCTGGATATATATTAGAACCTGACAAGCACACATGCAAAGCAGTCAGTGAGTATTAATGATATTTTAATGAATTAGTTAAATCTGGATTATATAATTGTAATATAAATTGTATAATTCATGTGCACATTTATCGAAAGAATTTATGTATTATCACATTTATATCTGTTTTTCTCTGTTTTACAGATCATTCATCTGCATTCTTGATCATTTCAAATCGACATTCCATTTTGATTGCGGACCTAAAAGAACAGGGTTTGGAACGGGTCCCTATAATTGTGGAGAATGTAGTAGCAACTGCATCAAACATGCATACAGGCACAATGTTCTGGTCAGATATGAAATTAAAGAAAATTTCCCGGTTAGATCGTGGGAGTGAACCTCGTGAAGTAAGTTGATTCTGTGTCTTCCTTATTTACATATAACTTTTCTTAGCCTTGAGGATTTAAAAAAAAATATTTGTATTGTTTGGCAGGTTATATCAAATGGATTGGACCTTGTAGAAGGATTGGCATATGATTGGATAGCTGGAAATCTATATTGGTTGGATTCTCGCCTAAATACAATAGAAGTTGCTTCAGAAAATGGAACAAATAGAATGGTGTTACTCAAAGAAAATATTACGCAACCAAGAGGAATGGCTTTGGATCCCAGTAAGGGGTATGTGCGAGAGAATAAAACAATTTTTTAATAAAGTTATTATTATTATTATTTATTAGATGGTGTACTAAGATGATGTTTTTTCAATTTTATATAAAAGATAATTCATAAAGAACTGCTGAATACAAGAACAATATTCTGTTGAGGTCTATGAATTTAATAGACAAAATGTCTACAATATTTTATACTTTGACTTGTTTTTGAATAGAAAGAAATAAACTTACTCTATCTATAAAATGCAAGTAATAGAAACTGTTATTTTTACATTTTATTTAGTAAGATACATTTCTTTCTAGAGCACGTTGGCTCTTCTGGACTGACTGGGGAGAAAATCCGAGAGTGGAACGTGTTGGAATGGATGGAAGTAGTCGCAAAACAATTATTAGTACCAAAATCTATTGGCCCAATGGTCTCACATTGGACATAGCCACTCAGCGAGTTTATTTTGCTGACTCGAAACTTGACTTCATTGATTTCTGTTACTACAATGGCACAGGTCGCCAGCAAGTCTTAGCAAGCAGCCACTATTTGCTTCATCCACATTCTCTGACATTGTTTGAAGACACATTGTATTGGACTGATCGACAACTAAATAGAGTTCTCTCTGCACACAAGTACAATGGAGTGAATCAGTCAGTGGTTTCACATCTTATTTCACAGCCCCTTAGTATTCATGTGCATCATCCGTCTCTACAACCAATGGAAATTAACCCTTGTGCAAAAGCAACTTGCTCACAACTTTGTCTTCTTTCTCCCACTTCATCCACTGGTTATTCTTGCAAGTGTAGACCAGGGTTCCGCATGTCAGATGATGGAAAGTGTTCAGAAGGTATGAATAAAACTGACTCCTCTTATTTTGTACAGTGTAATTCATCAGTACTGTATTAATTGTTATATAATTTTAAAAAGATGCTTAATATAGTTATATTAAATTAATAATTATATTATATTAAATTATGCTTCTTTAATTTCTGTTTCTCAGAGGAAACCCCATTCTTAATGGTCATTAAAGGGTCACAAATTGTCGACGTTAGTCTGACACCAGAGGATAAAACAAGTGGATATTTGACTCCTATTATTGGCATTGACAAGGGTCTACAGATTGATTTTGATAGAAAAACTGAAACTATCTTTTGGGTACAAGGAAAGGAAGATGATGAAGAAAATGTAAGTCTGTTTGTAAATGTCTTATTGTGAGCACAAGAACTTGGTTACAAATAATTGTCTTATTACTTTGCAGTGCACTATTTTTACTACCCCATATGGAGGAGGGAACAAAACAGAGTTTCTCAATAGTGAGGACTCTGGAATAGTCGGCGCTCCATACACAATAGCTTTTGATTGGATTGGTCGAAATCTGTATATAGGTAACCGTCTGGCATCAAATTTCGAAGCAGTGAAAGTCGATGGTAAAATGAAACTTCGGTCTATAATCTTGGCCAATGATGCTCGTAATGTGTCTGTAGCACGTCCCAAGTCAATGTGTCTTGATCCATATGATGGGTAAGTTAGCATGGATAAATTTACTGGGAGATAGCTCCAGTAGTCACTAAATTAAATGTAACAATAATTTTTGCATTCTACATTTTTTGTTTTTACAGAAAGTTGTACTGGGCTGATGAAGGTGGATTCGGTGTACCAGCAAAAATTGGTAAAGTGAATATGAATGGATCAAATCCAATATTACTTCTAGTTGTTGAGCGACCAGAAGCAATAACTATTGATCTGGATAAGAAGTTGCTGTATTTCAGTACTTTGTACCATACTGCTGTACGTAACTCCTTTTTATTAGTGTTGTTATTCTAATACTGTAAACTATTCTTCTTTGAAATCTTAATTAATTTAACCCTACAAGAAAATGAGTAAAAGCATCTTAGCATACTAATGAATCTTGTTATAATTTATACTCTAATATAATATGATTATATTATTTATATTCCAATTTTACTGTAATAAATTATTATGAACTATTTTGAATTCAAAATATATTGAATGAAGTTTTAAATATATGTTTTAAAATCCTTTCTTTCATGATTCTAAAAACGTGTATGCTATTAATTTTCCTGAACCTGGTCATAGTTTTAGGAAAGGAAATGCTCAATTTAGTTAGAATTTTATTAAATATGATAGAAAGTTTGTTTATGTGTTTATAATTATTGATATGTAATGTTTTACTCTTTGTTATTAGATTTACGAGATGGATATAAATGGACAAAATAAACGCCAAATACTGGGTGAAGGAGATAATATTGCCCTTCCCAAAACGCTTGCAGTAATGGACAGGAATTTGTACTACATGGATCCTAAGTATGATAAGATTGAAAGAGTTGGATTACCAGGAGGAGATAATCCAAAAATGATCATGCATAATGAGCCAGACTTAAAAACATTTACAATTTTTCGGAAACGAGCAGGTAATTTTATGTTTTGAAGACGGATATGTTCATGTTTTATAACAATCTTACTGCACAATATCAGTAAACAAAGTCTAATGTGATTATATGTAATAAGTTATATATCCAATAATAAGGTCTGTAATTGTGATAGTATATTAAAAAAGTTTGCATAATAATTTCAAATAATGGTGTATTCTCTTTCTAAGATAATCATTAAAAAAAATATAAGTAAGTTGTATATGCTAATCAAGATTAATATAAATGCATTAATTAAACAGAATTTGTATTACTGAAATTTTTTTCAATACATTTTACCTTGTTTTTTTCAGTCACTGGAAGGCATCCATGTCTTGTTCACAATGGAGGTTGTGCTCATCTCTGCATACCTAATGGTGGAGAAACAAGAGTGTGCAGTTGTTCAGTAGGATTCAGAAAAGAAGATGAAGTTACCTGTTCAACATACAAAACATTTGCTGTAGTATCCCAATTAGAGATAACTCGTGGATACAGTTTAAAGGATTCATCAGAAGCTATGGTGCCGATTACTGGTCCTGGTAATGAATATTTTAAAAATATGCTACTTATTGATATATATATATTCAACATATTTGTTGTGGTTTCTTAATACACTCAATTTCTTAGATATCATGTATGTGCTTCCCTAAAAACACTTTTTGGTTTATCTATTCAGTATAATTATTTGTCTCAGGTCATCACATATTCCATGTTGATGTACACTATGCAGCAACTTGGATTTACTGGGTCGAGTTTAATCGTGGCATGTGGAATGGAATCTATCGAATTCGGCCCAATGGCACAGATCTTCAACCTATCATCAAAGACGGAATTGGATCAAATGGAATTCGTGGTTTAGCTATTGATTGGATTGCAGGAAATTTATACTTCACTAATGTCTTCCCCCATGAAAATTACTTGGAGGTTTGTTGGATTGATGGATCCAATCGTAAAGTCCTTGTGAAGACCACAACTGATGCTCCTCGAGAGTTGGCTGTAAATCCCATTAAAAGGTTTGTTATTGAATATTTTTGTGAAAGAGATTACAATACCTAACATGACAGGGATATCAGAGAAAAAATTATAATACACTAAATCATTATGCTGTGGAAAAATGTTGACAACCATCTTTCTTTAGGTTATTATATTGGATTGATTATGGACAGTATCCAAGAATAGGCAAGGCTTTCTTGGATGGATCCAATTGGACTTCAATTGTGACAACTGGAATCAGCAACCCAAGAGATATAACTGTAGATATGCAGACTCATAATGTGTATTGGGTGGATTCAAAACTTGATATGATTCAAAAGGTTTCTTACAACGGAGGCAATCGAGCAGTAAGAGAAGTTAAATTACTATAAAAATATGAAATTATTAACAAAAATTGTTTGATTAACATTAAATTGTTACTGATTTTTTAAAACGGGATTAATGATCTAAAGAAAATATATTTTTCTAGGTAATACGAAGAAATTTGCCCAATCCAATGGGTATAGCAGTCAATAGAGGAGATGTGTATTGGGTGGACCGAAATCTGAATACAGTGTTCAAAGCTTCCAAATTACCAGGAAATATCTCTGCACCTACACCTGTACGAACAAATTTACCCAACCTGCGGGACATTGCAATTTTTGATGTTGCAAGTCAGCCAACTGATGAATCAAATCCATGTCTTCGCCTGGGAAATGGTGGTTGTGATCAATTATGTTTCTCTTTTCCGACATCGGGAGACTTTGGATTTCCAAGATCTAAGTGTGACTGTGCTACTGGTCAGCCCTCTGGAGACAGAGGACAAAAATGTACAAATGTTGATGAATACTTGGTATTCTCAACCAGAACAGAAATTCGCAGTATCAACCTGGATCCACAGTCTACCACAGTACCTTTCCAACCTGTGGTAAGCATTATTCTGATGTTCTCCTTAAATCTTCAGATAGATCATTTTATTCACTTTTCTTTATTTATTCATGAAGGGTTGCAACTAATAATAATATTATAGAATGTTTTAAAATTAGTTGAAATACAATCATTTTAATGTAAATGATAAGTGATTGTACACAATAAATGACATCATTCACAATTAAATATAATAATTCAAAACCTTTGGTTCAGTCTACTCAGACATATCCATTTATATTAATAAATATTGTTATTTGTATATAGAAATATCACTCCATTCAATTCAAGACAAAAAATTAAGTTATTTGATAAAAATTTCATTTTAATCATAAAATTATAAAATTCATAGTCACAATGCAACTAATTATTGCAACCTGATCCTAGTATATTAAGCATTACATCTAGAAATAAGATTAATTTGATATTGTGAACAATCTGTACAGTCTATACCATTATCAGTTGCTGCAAGTAATTTTCTTTAAAATTATGGTTTTCTGTTCAAAAAATTATAACCTCTATATTTTTAATCTACTTCTTTTGGTTTTTTAACTGCATTAATATCAAACGCTCACGTTTATTGAATATAAAAAAATTAAAACTATGGTAGACACACATGCACCATGCACATCATTCACACACACATGCAACACATACTAATGTTGCCTTTGTATTTTTCTGTGTGTTTGTTTTGATGAAATTGGAGTTTTCAATACTAGCAAATGAATATTAGGAAGGAAAGATTGTTAGTTTACTTTACTTTGCATGTGGATTATTTTTCACAGTAATTTGTGTGTGTTTATGTGTAAATATCAGTTTTCAATTACTATTTCTTCATACATTATTAATTTTTTTAACATGGGTGGGCTTATTGTGGGCTGGAGAAAATATATTAAACCCTGGAAGAATTATTCTCAATATTTATTCTTTGCTTTAGACAATTAAAAACTGTTGCAATGAAAATGTATTTTAAAGGAGTGAAGGACAGAAAAGAAATATTGATTGTCGTTTACTTCTTACTGAATATTTAAAAATCTCTCGATACGTTTTATTAAGTATGAAAGTTATGTAGTTGATATATTTTATCTTGTATAAGACCAAGCTGTTTAATTTGTTGACAAGTGTGTTTTGAAAAGATTGTGTAAGATTCATAATTATTTACAAGAGAAAGGGGAAACCCTTTAAATATCTTTTTGAAACTACTCAAAGATGTTTGCGTTCTCCTTCTAAAATTTGGAATCCTTACCCACTGAGTTATTTCATTTTCATGTAATGTGAAGAAACTTTTAGAAATAAATAATAGCCTAATATCTTTCTATACAAACTCAATCTTTCTGTTAAATGGAATTTTAATTTAAGTTAATTTTTTTTTTTTATTGAATTTTTATTTGTATTTCAATATGTAATGGTGAATTATAAGTTGAAGAGATTTATCATCATTTACATTAACATTAACATTATCATTATCATCATTTTGAATGTCTAATTAACATTTTCTTAGTTTTTTATTGCATTTCAGAATAACTTAACAAATGTTGTCGGTGTTGATTTTGATTATGCTGATCGGAGGTTACTCTTCACTCAAATTCGTCCATGGGCAAAAATTGCTTGGATCTCCAGTGTGCAGACTACTGGTGAAATACATAACATTATTAACCGAGGAATAAATCCAGAAGGCATAGCTTATGACTGGACTCAAAAGAAAGTGTATTGGACAGACTCCTCAAATAACAGTATTTATGCCATGAACATGGATGGTTCTGATTTGGTGATGATTGCAAGAGTAGAGCGCCCACGAGCTATAGTAGTTGATCCTTGCAATGGGTAGGTAGAATTATTAAAAAATGTCTCACAAATATTTCATTGTAACTATCGTCCATAATTACATTTTTTATTACTTCAATTATTTTTAGATCATTGTACTACACTGACTGGGGACGCTTTGGTACATCAGGCAAGATCTTCCGAACCACTATGGCTGGTTCACTGAAGAGGGCAATTATTGATAAAGATTTATCGCAACCAAGTGGTCTGGCAATTGACTATGAGGATCGTATGTTATACTGGACTGATGCTGTAAGGGAGAAAATAGAAAGGTCAACTCTTAATGGCACAAATAGAGAGGTAAATGTAAATTTAAAATTGTTCATTTTTAAGTTTTGACCTGCATTTTCTCCAAGAAGCATTCTTTTTCCCCCTTTCTCTTTCTTCTTTCTCTCTTTTTCTTTCTTTGCCTCCTCCTTTCTCTCTTTTCATTTTTATTGTTTCTTGTTCCTTTCTTTTTTTCTAAAAGGAAGTTTGGCTGAGTAAACATTCATGAATCTAAATTAACATTTAGCCCTCGTAATTATTTGTGTTACATTCCCATGAACTCTTTGTTTAAATTCTACTGACACCACCAACAAGATGCCCTTGTAACGCATTGTCATTTTCCACATTTTAGTGCAAAAACAACCAGGCACATTTTATTTGAGAAATGATGTCAGCGTGTGTGATTAATTTTACCTCACCACAGTTAATATACTGTCAAAAATAACTGAAAGAACACAACAATAAACATGATATACTTGTTTGCACTCAATGTTCTTTTGGATGATGTCTTTTATTCTCAACAAAATTTCTGGAGAAGTCAAGATCGATCTAGGCTTTTCTATATTGTATCTCTGTTTCTATATTCAAGGCTGTAACCACTAAAATATTGAACTAGATATGAAAGGCATCTATTTAGTTTATATCAACAAAACTTCAACAAATTTATAGTCTAATAAACAGTTTAACACTCTATCTTGAATGAATATGAAATAATGAATATGAAAAACATAATTTACTGCAATGCCATGCACTCTCTGATGAACTTTACATGATAGAAAAGAGAAAAATAATATGTCAAGTGGAACTCGACATTGAGTGGAAGTCCCAATTTCTCATCTTTAAGCTCCACTCTTCCATATAAGACTACATAAGTTTAATACCAATGTTTTTAAACCATTAGGGTTTTACTGCTTGTAGTTTGACTAAAGCTAAACATATATGTTCTAGGTTTTGATTGCTGCAACTATTTATCCTTTTGCAATAACTGTACATGGAAATTTTATGTACTGGACCGATCTTCAATTGAGAGGTGTATACCGAGCTGAGAAGCATACTGGTGCCAACATGGTAGAAATGGTAAAACGTTTAGAAGATTCACCTCGAGATATTCATGTGTTCTCAGCTTCCCGACAGGCATGTACTGTGAATGCTTGCCACATCAACAATGGTGGTTGTCAACAATCATGTCATCCAGGACCTAATAAAACAGTAAGATTTTATTTATCCTTTATGAAAATGGAATAGTTTTTTCCTGACATTTAGCTGAAAGAAACCATTACATGCAAGTTAGTTGTTCATGAGCACAGTATATGTGTTGTATTGTTCATGAGCATAGTGTATAATACTAATGAGCAATTTCGATATACATTAAAATGATGTTAAAACTTGCAAAAATAATAATGGTAATAATATTAATAATAATATGAATAGTAGTAATAGTAACAACAACAACAACAACAACAACAACAAATGAGTTGCATTCAAATTATTATGGAAATAGCACTGAACTTTCTAGCAAAGAACTACTGATACATATGTTGAATATACATTTTCCTTCAAAACAATACTTCAATTCAGCCTATTGAGATGTAAAATGGTTTCTTTTTATTTTTTTCATGAAATAGGCAGAGTGCAAGTGTGATGACAAGAGCAAACTAGTCAATGAGAATAGAATGTGTGTCCCCAAAAACATCACTTGCGATCAAAGTAAATTTGCCTGCCGCAACGGAAAATGTATTTCACGTATGTGGGCTTGTGATGGCGATGATGACTGCGGTGACAATAGTGATGAAGACACTAATTATTGCAGTAAGTACACATTCCATTGAAAAAATTAACTTTTAATTAATTATTTTCATTGTCAGAACATTTTCTTAAGTATAAGTTTTGATTACTCTTCTCTACTAAGACTAACTAAAGATAGCTGGATATTAAATTCAGATCCCCAATATTAATAGAATAATGTCATCTAGAACAAGTATACTTTTAATTTATTTCTCTTTGCAAGTCTTCAATTACCTGAAGTATTTTTCTGTATTAATTAATTTCCATATCATAATCAGTTATCTATTCGTTTACAGTTCTATTGTTTGTTGATACTAAATTAATTGTCACATTATTAATAAATTATGTTATACAGCATATCATTCATGCAGTCCAAATGAGTTCCGATGTGCAAATGGACGCTGCATCTTTCGATCTTGGAAGTGTGATCATGAAAATGATTGTCGTGATGGGTCTGATGAACTTGATTGTAATTATCCTGATTGTCTCGAAGGAGAGTTCACTTGTGCTAATCATCGATGTATACCGAAGTCACAGGTATGAGCATTCCAGTCAACATTCATTATTAAACCAAAAATATTGTGTTCATTCTTGGGAAATATTACCATATTCTTGCAAAAATGTCTAAAGGAACCATTAAAGTTGTAATTGTTAACAAACTTGAAAAAATTCATGGTTTAAGTGTTTAAATCTTGCCAGAGAGGAGCTCATTATTTTTATAAAGCAATCAAACCTTTAATTTTCTATCTGAAAATATTAATACACTCTATGTATCACGTGTTTATAAAAAAGTAGAAAATAACATTTTTAAAAGTTGTATTTGATATCATTACTTATTCACTTTTTTTGTGTGAAAGGTATGCAATGGTGTTAATGACTGTAAGGACAACGTCACGTCTGATGAAACCCATGACAGATGTCCCCGCAACACAACATGTCCTGTTCATCACTTGAAGTGTGAAAAAACTAACATATGTGTGGAACCATATTGGCTCTGTGATGGAGATAATGATTGTGGAGATAACAGTGATGAGGATGCTTTGCATTGTGCCCAAAGATCATGTCCTCAAAATAGTTTCAGGTACATACAGTGTAATACATTGAAAAATTATATTGAATTTCTATTAAGAAAATATTTTTATTTCTCAAATTTCATTTGTTCATTTCATTTCATTTCATTTCATTTCATTTCATTCCATTTCGTTAAGCATTTTTAATTATGTTGTTTGTTAAAAAAATTTTCAAATTGATAAAGACATTAAAATATTAAAGACTTTTTAAAACATTCTTATTTTAAAATGAGAACTGCAAGTATCTACCTTGTATATACCAGATTGATATCTATCTTTTCCATTTCCATTGTGTGAAGTAATGTTTGTCATTGTCATTTTAACATGCTGCCTCTGCTTCTTTCCCTCTTCCACTCTTTCGTTTCTCCAGTGAAGAGTTATTGGGCCAGGTTCTTTTCATCTCCATCTCCATCTCCATTTCCATTTCCATTTTGTATATTCATTATATATTAACATGCATTTTTTTATTCATGAATGTTTTCAAAATCGTATGTGCTGTCTCAGAGTATATAAGTTCACTTGAAAATGAGACACTGACTTTCAAAGAACCCTTGTGATAAAATAATAGTCACTGTATAAAAATCAATGTTTGTTTGTTCATATTTTATGGGCTGCCAATTATGTTCATCTGATTGTGATGTAACTTGATCAATTTATTGCTTGCACTTACATGAAGAATATAGGCATTGCATAATGGGAATGTGCATATGTCGCAAATAGACATGATGATTTCATGCATTTTATGATTTCATGCTGACTCGAGCACCCCTAAAGCTCTATGTAAACCGCTGCACCCTTAAGTATTAAGTGCATCTTTGCTGCATATTTTGCCCCTGTGATTCTGAAATATTGCTCGGAATTATTACTTAGACGTTCCCTCAGATAAGCAAGTCTTCCTCCAAGACAGTATCATAGCGAAAAGCTTGCCCAAACTTGAGGGAAATCATTTCAACAATAGGATACGTGACAACCATCATTACTTTTTTTTGCCATTTATTTACTATTTTTAGTCTCCGGTATTCTTTGCCTGATATTCTCATTTCATATTCTCCTGCAATCTTAAATTATTTAAAAGTTGCTCTTTGGAGTTATCTTCTGTTGATGCTAGAAGGTCATCTGCATAAAATATAGTCTTTGTTCTTTTATGTTTCAAAACTATTCCATCTCCTGTTTCTCGTTTCCATCTCTTAACCATTCGGTTTACATAAATATTAAACTGCAAGGGTGATAACACACCCCATTCACCCTTATAAATGTTCATGATAAATCTCTTACCCTTCTAAAAGGTACATTTAAATATATAATTGTTTTATTTGCAGGTGTCCTAATCACCGTTGCATTCCAGCAACATGGTATTGTGATGGAGATGATGATTGTGGAGATGGTTCAGATGAACCTCCCGAATACTGCAAATCAGAAGGCAGAACATGTTTTGGTGATCTCTTTACTTGTGACAATGGTAACTGTATTCCACGGATTTACATATGTGATGGTGATAACGATTGCCTAGACAACTCTGATGAGGATGAAAGACATCAGTGCAGTTAGTATATTTTGTTGTACCAAATTGTTTGTTGAATCAAATGACAGATAACTTATAATTGTTAGTTGCTCTTGATATGATTTAGATGATCGTAAATGTGATGAAGAAACAGAATTCACCTGCGAAGAAAATAAACGATGGAGTCGAGCGCAATGTATACCTAAAAAATGGCTGTGTGATGGTGATCCTGACTGTGTCGATGGAGCTGATGAAAATTCTACCCTTCATCATTGTCCAAGCCCCACTCCCTGTGGAGAGGAACAGTTCACATGCAGCAATGGACGATGTATCAATTATGTAAGTTTGTCAGTATTATTGACATAGTCTAAGGATAAAATCAGATTGAACAAAAGTATAAAATTAGCTATTTATTTGTTGGTGTATTAAAATGATATTAATTTGAATTTAAGTAGAGAATTTTTACATGAAAGTAGAGGAAATAAATATAGCATAGTCAAGTTTGCTGAAGTTTATTGCCAAACTTAAATCTAAATGAAGTGTTTATTAAAATAATAACATGATTCTAGGGCTGGGTATGTGATCATGACAATGATTGTGGAGATGGATCTGATGAAGGAAAAATGTGTAATAATAAATATAAAGAATGTAACAGTACCACAGAGTTCACATGTCAAAATTTCAAGTGTATTCGTCAGAATTATCACTGTGATGGAGAAGATGACTGTGGTGATGGATCTGATGAAGTTGGCTGTGCTGACAGTGAGTGTTTACTTTTATGGACCTACATTTGTTGGACCTATTCTAAGAAATTAACCCTTTCACTAAATTTAAAAATCTGGATTAGAGCTATTTGTAAAAGTTATTTTTAAGATTTTTTTTGACTTTTTACAGTAGTAACATGATGAAATTATATTACAAGTAAATGTAGTGCAGATGAGAAATATGTCATTTGTTTTTTAGAAAAAGGAGAGAAACAATGCCCAGATGGTCAATTTAAGTGCAATAATGGAGCCTGCATTGACATGCAGTTAGTATGCAACAAAGTCTCAGACTGCAGTGATGACAGTGATGAACCTTTGCATTGTAATGTTGATGAATGTGCCAAAGTTGAAGTTCATCAATGTGGTCACAAATGTGTTGATACACTCACAGGATATTATTGTGAATGCAATCAGGGTTACAAGTAAGTTAAATAATACAGAAATTCCTTGTTCTGTTGCACAATTAAAGAAAAAACCTTCTACTAGTATATTTTTGTCCACAAACACTTATGTTATCTATTAACATAACAAATTTTAAAGCCTCATTTATGTGATAAAATTCTCAATGTTTATAAATGTTTTCATTTCTAGATTACTTGAAGATAAAAAGGCTTGCAGAGACATTGATGAATGTATTGAAACACCAGGAGTATGCTCTCAGTATTGTTCAAACACCCCAGGATCTTATTATTGCAAATGTAATGATGCATTCTATGAGAGAGCAACAGATGAGCACACCTGCAAAAGACGAGATAACCTCACTGCATGGCTGGTATTCACCAATAAATATTACATAAGAAACATGTCTTTGGATGCTACACAGTATGCCCTTATGCACCAGGATCTTGTGAATGTAGTAGCACTTGATTTTGACATCAAGGAAGAAATGATTTATTTCTGTGATGTCAGTGCAAAAACAATTTTCAGGTACTTTTCAGCATTTTTCACTGTGCATGAGAATTTTATTATCTTTTTTGTTATGTTTTGTTTTTGCTTTTGTAGTCATTGTCAAAATTTAAAAGGAAATAAAAGATATAGGTGCATGGGAATTTCTAATAAAATAAGAAATTGTTCAATTTTTTTCTCATGCAAGTACCCATACCTGTGCCTCTGTTTAAGCTATGTAGACAAATAGACTAATATGTTATATTAAGAACTGTTGTATAGATCAAAGGGTTAGAGAAAATGTGAAAGATTTAAACTACAAGACAAGATCAAGAACATCTTGTTAACTAATGAAATACTAACTCAAAAAAACAGGCTGTACAGACTTAAATCTTCAATGTTAATTATGATGGTTACATTGCTATAAGTAGGCATTTGAAAACTGATTTTTCTCCGACAACTTTTATGCTTGATGTATAAAAGAAATTGTAATTATTCTGACCTTTTTTGAATCAATCTTAATCATTTCAATACAGATCTCGCATTGATGGACCTACATCTGGACCTGGAGCCAAAGAACCTGTAATTCGGCATGACAGTCACGGTTTAGAAGGGATTGCTGTTGACTGGGTTGGTAGAAAATTGTATTGGCTGGATCGTCATAGTAAACATTTAGAAGTTGCTGAACTAAATGGAACAAATAGAAAGACACTCAAAGCTGGAATTCCTGATCCAAGGGCAATAGTTGTTCATCCTGGAACCGGTTATTTGTATTTTACAAGCTGGCATTTGCAGGTGAGCATTTGCAAATACACATTATCACATCTGTATTATATATTTTTTTTTTTTTAAGATTAATTAATTTTCAAAGTTTGGGGTTTACTAAAAACCTTTTTTAAATTTTGTTTAGAACTCTTAACAAAATGATTTAAAAAGAGGAGACCATTTATCAAATCTTTTAAAACTTTTCTTGGAATTTTATTTCGTTTCTTCTCTACAAAATTTTCATGCAATTTAATTTCTTTCAAGTGTCACATTTGAGAATTAATATTAAAATTTAAATTACGTAGAATTTACACTAACTTCTCGTAGAATTTACACTAACCTGGCCTAGTGCTTTTGTGAAGACTCGTCTCATCTCTGGTGGTGTTTCAAAAATGACATATTGCAATGGACACCCTTATGTTTGGTATTCTTGTTGCACATTTTAAATGTACTTTGTATGATGATTGTTTCAATTTTTTTAAAAAAAAACATGTTTGCAGGCTTACATTGGCAAAATTGGCATGGATGGCACCAACTTCACTCGCTTGCTGAAATGGGAAGATGACATAGCTTGGCCAAATGCCATCACTATTGATTATTTCACAAACAGATTGTATTGGGCAGATGCACATCTTGACTACATTGCATCAACTGATCTCGAGGGAAGACATCGCCACATCGTATTATCTGGATCTAAAGTGCCTCATGTTTTTGCACTCACGTTATTTGATGATGAACTCTTCTGGACCGATTGGAACCTAAAAGCTATTAACAAAGCACACAAGTTCACTGGAAAAGACATGACCATCCTACGGAATACAACTCATCGACCATATGATTTACATGTGTATCATCCTCTCAGACAACTCCCTTATCACAATCCATGTGGTACTGATAATGGAGGTTGTTCTCATCTGTGCCTAATATCTCCTCCAGCCACAAATAGCCCAGTTCTTGAAGGATATAGTGACATTGAGTTGACTGTTAATTACACATGTGCCTGCCCCAACCAATTTTATCTTTCATCTGACAACAAAACTTGTATTGCAAACTGTACTGATGGACAACATCGTTGTGGAGGCAAAGATGATAAATGTATACCATGGTTCTGGAAGTAAGTTAAAGTTCTTATTTATTTAAAAATATTTGTTTGTAGAGATTAGAATTTTAAGGATTACAGATCGTCAGAGGAGAAATGCATAAAATCATTAATAGAAGTTCTTAATATTTTATTTTTATTTTTTATTTTTGTAGGTGTGATGGTGAGAAAGATTGCAGAGATGGAACAGATGAACCATCCAGTTGTCCAAAGAGAGTATGTCGTCCAGGCTCTTTCCAATGTGCAAATTCTAATTGTACACCTTCAGCTACGATCTGTGATGGTGAAGATAATTGTGGTGATGGTTCCGATGAGAAGAATTGTCATTTGACCTGTGGCGAATTAGAATTCAAATGCCAATCTGTAGGAAGATGCGTTTTGCAAGCATGGAAATGTGATGGTGATGCGGATTGTAAAGATGGAAGTGATGAAGATCCTGCTATATGCCGTGAGTAATTCACAGAAGCTAAAAATACAATTCAGCTAATCTATTGGGTTCTCATTTACCTGTGTTATAATTATGTAGATATGATAGGATAAAGCATCCATGTATTCTCCCCATAAGTATGTCTTGTAATGAAAAAATGGTGCAGTGTTAAAAATTAGAAAAAAATTAGTGGCTGCCAATTTTGTTGTCGCTCAATCGTTAGAACCCTTATAACGCCCTTGGTACATAAATAACTTATACCCGTCTAAGTAATTGCCAAATAGCGTGTCAAACTCTCAAATTATTTACATCTTATCGGATTACTCAGTGTTCCTGATTCCTTCCTGAGGATGGGACTGTTCATTGTGCCCCTTCATGGTAACCAACAAAATTCATCTTGACCTAAGTAAATTCCCACATGTGTGAAAATATAAAAAATGTCTAGTAAACTATACTGGAAGTCAGAAATTATTTAATGTTAAAACTTGGCTTTGAGTGGTTGACGAAATCTTTGGCAAGTTTTCTGAATTATTTCTGTCCTTAATAAATTAAAATTACTTCACTTATTTGCATGAGTAGTTGTAAGTAACTCTTAGTGACTAGTGAGTATGTGGGCACATGTGTGCTCTGTTTGTCATCCAATTCATAATAAATGCATTTTGAAACATTCTATTAATATTAAGTGTACTGTCATTCATTGCAATTCTTTTATGCAATAATTCAAGCACATGTGTGTATGCTTGAATTAAATTACTATAAAGTAAATAAAACTAAGTAATATTAATTAACTGATGCAATTATCTTGTTACAGACAATAGAGCATGTGATCCTGAGACTGAATATACTTGCAGAAATGGTCGTTGTATTCCCCAGCTGTGGGTTTGTGATTTCGATAATGATTGTGGTGATGATTCTGATGAACCAGCTTACATGTGCAGGTAAAATATTCTTCACATTTTCTGTAATAATGATTAGTTGAATTGACGTTTACTAGTATTAGTTTTAAAACTGTACAGGCAAAGAAATTGTACAAAAGGATGGCAACGATGCCCTGGCCATGCTAACTATCGGTGCATTCCAAAGTGGCTTTTCTGTGATGGTAAAGATGACTGCCGTGATGGAAGTGATGAATTGGCTGAAAATTGCCCCAAATGTCATGACACTGGAGACTTCCGGTGCAACAATAACCGATGCATTCCAAAGTATGTAAAAATGTAAAAGCTATTACAGGATTTTTTTATGTGGTTTACTTAATGAATTTGGTGACATAGTGTGTTGTATTACCTGTACCCCCTGTTTTGGGGATAGCCGTTATGTAACTTACTATATTACACATATGAAAAAGAGAAATTAGGTCACTGTTTGCATTTTAATAAATTTCTTTTGATGGAATTGAAAGAAAATATTAAATGTGTTTCTGCTATGATGATCTATTTATCAGCCTTTCTTTGCAACTTATAAAAATTTCATCAAATTGTTTTCATTGTAATGTTTCTGATGCTATTTTGTAGGAGATGGCTATGTGATTTTGAAAATGACTGTGGAGACAATAGTGATGAAGAAGAATCAATGTGTCAAGGGGAATACAGAGAATGTTCAGAATCAGAATTTCGTTGCGGAAACAATAAATGTATTCCAAATCGCTGGCGTTGTGACCATGATGATGACTGTGGTGACAATTCAGATGAAATGAGTTGTGCTGATTACAAATGCAAGGTTAGAATAGAATTCATATTATGCATTCTTCCTTTCCATTTATTTTGTAAATTTTTGTTCATTTTGTATGAATTATATATAATTTTTGTTACCGATTGCATTTAGTTTACTTTGTGATTTGTGAAAATCAGTTTTGTACTTCTAGCAAATGAGTTCTAGTTCATCTGTAACACTGTTTTCATATGTTTTTTATATTCTGTAATGATATCCGGAAAGAAACTATAATTAACTACCATGTTGCAGAATGGCACTTTCCAGTGCCGAAGTGGTCACTGTATAGCTTCCTACTTCCGTTGTGATGGTGGTCGTGATTGTCATGACATGAGTGATGAAATGAATTGTCCTCCCAGATACCCTGGTGGGCGCTATTGCCCAGAAAACATGTATGAATGTGATAATCACTTGTGTGTAGATCAGGGAGATCTGTGTGATGGGTCTGATGATTGTGGGGACAATTCAGATGAAAGTGTAGCACTTTGCAGTAAGTGTCACTGATTCAAGCAAAATGTGTTTTTTATGTTAAAAATATACTATATTTGAAAATATACGATGATGATAATTTGAAATGTATTTTAATGATTTTTAATGTTTTTACAGCCAATTTCAATTGTGGCTCTTTGAAGAGATTTCAGTGTGATAATCATAAGTGCATTCCAGAAGCCTATCTGTGTGATGGAAATGATGATTGTGGTGATGGTAGTGATGAAAATAATATGACTAGATGTGGTGTTCAAACAAAAGCTTGTAACATAATCTTTGAATATCAGTGTGCAAATAAAAAATGTATTGACCATCTTCGTGTCTGTGATCTTGCTGACGACTGTGGGGATTTATCTGATGAATTAGGCTGCCGTAAGTCATATTCAATCTATTTTGCTTCTTGAAAAATTGTAAAGGAAATTTAAAGGTACACTACACATTTAATTATTACTTTTTTGCAGATCATGTAAAAACTTGTTCAGATACTGACAAAGGAGGTTGTCAACACAGTTGCATGAATGTGACTGGAGGTTATTTGTGCAAGTGTTTCAGTGGCTACATAACTTCCTCTGACAATAGAAAGAAGTGCATTGGTAAATGTCTACTTTTTATTTATTTTTATTTGAAAGACAGATGAATGTGAATGACAAATTCTAACTCGAACTAGAATTCAATATTCAGAATAAATGTGCAGTACTGATAGAGTATTGCAAAAATATTCAGCATTCACAGAGTGATTACAAGAGCTTCAGGATTTTGTTGTAAACTAGTCAAAACACCAAACAGTGGCGTTGGTGCATGGACGTTGCACGTGCGGACTACCAAATAAATGTCAAGTTTGTGGATGGCAGGCAAGACCTAAACTTGGCTGTTGGGCAATTTCAATAGAAAAAAAGTTTTTAATAATGTTTAATGTGTCGCTCAATAAGCTGAGCAGCTTTGATGTTGTAGATTCATGTTTTAAATTCTATAAATAAGAAAATGTTGTCATTTTTGTCACATTTTGAAAGGCAAGATGAAAAAGAAACTTTAATTCACAATTACATTTAGTATGTGCAATTAGTAAAACAAGTTCATCACAGCATAATTAAAATTACTTTAAGCTTTGCCTGTCTTAAAGCTTTTAAGTTTAAATGATTATTTGATATTCTGTATCACCCTGAATTTCTCAGACTATGATTTAATCTTATATGTTTATAATGAAAAATTGTCTTAAACTATGAGTGATGGGTTTTACTTTAAACCATTTCAAAATAATTGGGTAATGAATTAATAAATGTGTGGTGCGAGTATAACTAGTCAGATCATGCTTGCAGAATAAGCTTTGAAGTACACCTTTTAAAACATACTAGAAAATTCTTTAAATTTATGAATTTAGTATTTAAATCAATAAATTAAATTATAAGACAATAACTACATGTTGTGTAACAATCAAACACCATCACTGCTGTTCAATGATTTTACAATATTCAATATTGTTAACCTCAATGGTGGTGTTTGGTCTCTACACAATATATAATTATTGTGTTAACAGTCCTATTGAAGGCTTAATAAAAGCTGAGATGTTCACAATTCAAATAATTTGTTGAAATTTTATCTAAATTCAAGAAAATTCCCAATAGAAAGACTGAATATTTTAAGGGGTACATACTTCCATTAATAGATATTAAAGTTGAATGTAAATCTACTATTTATCAAAAATTCATATATTTTACAGATGTAGATGAATGCCAAAGTGGAACACATCATTGTTCTCAAATCTGCACAAATTTGAATGGAACTTATGAATGCAGCTGCATGGATGGATTTACATTGTCTGATCAACAAAGTGGTGTTTGCAAGGCTGATGAAGAAGAGATCAGTTTAATATTTGCCAATGGGCCAGAAATTCGATATTATGAATTGGCTGCTCGTCATGAAACTGAAGTTATATCTGATGAGCGTAGAATCGAAGCCCTTGACTATGACCCTCACAATGAGATAGTGTTTTGGGCAGATTCATACAACAAAACAATCAAGAGATCATATATGCTTAATGCTCATAATGGAGATGTGAAAGCTGGTTATGCCCAAGATTTGAATATTAAAGGTAAAAGAGAATAGTAAATACTACTCCTATCACGTATAATTTGATGATATTAACTTTTGTTATTTATATTTCATCTGTTCAGGCAACTCAAAACCAACGAGTATTGCTGTGGATTGGACATCACAAAATATATATTGGACTGAAACTGATAGATCAGGAAGTAAACCAAGAGGAAAAGTAATGGTAGCAAAAAGTGATGGGCGATACCGTCGCTCTCTTATTTCATCTACTTTAGAATCACCAACATCTGTAGCCCTTGATCCAGAATATGGCCTAATGTATTGGGCGGATGCTGGAGTTGCTCCCAAAATTGAAATGGCTTGGATGGATGGAAGCAAAAGACGTCAACTTGTAACTGATGCTATACGCCATCCCACTGGCCTTACAATTGATTATGCCATGGAACATACTCTTTATTGGGCAGATGCCAAATTAAACACTATAGAAAAAATAAGGCCAGATGGTTCTGGAAGACATGTTATTTTGAAAGGATGTAAGTGCTTTACTAAATAATATTATTTGGTGAAATAATACATTATATGATAATTGATATTCTAATGACTTTCATTATGACATTTTCTATTTCAGCATTTTTACACCATCCAATTTCTCTAGATGTGTTTGAAAGCAGTTTGTTTTGGATAACTAGAGATACAGGAGAGCTAATTCGTCATGATAAATTTGGCCGAGGGGTTCCTGTTACAATAGCAAAAGAATTAGTCAATCCTTCTGGTGTTAAAGGTGCGTCATGTCATTTTATTAAAACCAAAGAACTGCCATAATATATTCAATTTTTCATTTTAGAAACTAAGAGATTTAATATGTCAATTTTATTACTCAGTACTTCATATATAAGAATGTTTGTAAATACAGTAGAACCCAATTATAACAGAAACTCTTATAATGGTCAAAATAGGCTGTCCCTAGACCCAGTGTATAAATTATGGGAGTTTTTATTTTTGGTAGAGATACACGTGTTGGAATTTTCCTTGAAATAGTGGACAGAATATTGTTTGCAGAGAAATTGCTTTTATACACGTAAGAGTCGGAAGTTAAAACATGACCTTTTCCAACCCATCCACTTTCCCTATGCATTGTTTTGTGGAATATGCACTAGGGCATGGTCTGCATCAAGAGCTAATTCATGATAATGTTCTTATCATGTTCAGCCGAACGGGAACAAGTGAAGGTTGTTGAATATTTGACTTTGCTCAAGGCCCTTCAGCTTAATTCATGATGCACTTTGAATTGAACTTTTCACCATTGTGGCCATGGTTTCAAAAGAAAATTGTCAGTTTCAGAAAAATTTGACATCGTATGTAAATTTGAGAATTGTGTGTATGTAAGATAGCCTTCGAGGAAGGTTAATGAACTTACATTATCACATCTCACTTACAAGAGCTATTGACGGTAAGAGATAAAAATTGATGTCCCCAGATGTCTCTTAAAATGGTGTTGTATTATAAATATGTTATATTCAATTTAGTAGATATTCTGAGCCTATATCACACAAAAGTAAAATTATGTTCAAAACAGTTTGGTGTAGTTACTCATGGATAAACTGGAAGTGTGATTCAAATCCGAATGAAAATGCACTACTATAGATAAAACTGATATTTATTTTAAAAATTGAAATACAGAATACAAAGTGACTTGTATGACAGATAGAAACAAACTAAACAGACAATGCAATCTCTTGTGGTTACATCAAAAGCCGCCGCAAAGTATTGGTTGCATGCCAAAGTGTAGTTTGGATAGAATTATGGATTTCACCTCAAAAGTTAAGATAGTGCCTCTACCCATCAGAGAAACCCAATTATTACCTTGTCAAATTTAATTAATTTTCTTTGATTTCAAGTAGAAGTTCAAACTATATTTAATGATAGCTGTATATGAAACTGTGACTTTCTGTCCTGATGGCTGATGTTGCTATAGCAGGAGTGCAGTAGTGAGCTTGATTCAGCAAGTGTCATGTTTGCAAGTCCTATGTTGGAATGGTTATTTACCTGTGTGTGGTTGGCTTTCCCACCTTATCATGTATCACCTTTCCAACAATATCCTTTCATTCCTGGTTTGTCTTAGTGGTGCTGGAGCATGTATGTGAAGCATGAACAAATTGAACTCGGACAGTTCCATTCCTGATTCCCCTTGTTTGGTGGCATGATGAGTCAGACCTATACTTCACCGTAGAAGCATGGATCCTTCCTCTCCAGACATCATGTACAATACCCTGTACATAATATTGGCCAGCTGAGATGGCCTAACAGAATACCTTAGCAACCCACCTTAATCATGAAAAGAGAGATGGATATGGACCAATAGGCTACCTTCGAAAGTCTATGAGGGGGTGGGATCCAAGCTCACCAAATAGAATGGATAAAGCACGAGAAGCATGGGATAGGTCATTGTTCAGAAACCTGTAAAGTAAGGAGACCTGCAAGATGTCAGGGAGGGCAAGGTACTAATAATAGTAACATAGAAGTAATAATAATTTATTGCACTTTACTAATGCAATTTTGTAAATGTTGCATCCATAACATCATAATTACACTTTACATTCTTGTCTCTTAATACTGCATTTCTTTTAACACTCTTATAAATCCACCTTCTATTTACAATCCACCTGTAATATAACCTAACCAACATTCTAGTCCTCTCACCTCTCCTCTTACGAATTTCTCACTATCTACTCCTTGTCATCTTAGAAGAAATTGACCTGTTGTGTAGTTTCTTCTCCATCTTAAATCCCATCTTCTTTTGTTACCATACCTCCCTTTTCATCTTTCCCCTCAACCTTTATATCCTTCATGCTTTTCTAAAACATCTAACCTCGTTTTACACCGGTCTCCGTCTCATCCAGAATTATCTTAACCTTATCCACAACATTACAGTTTTCATAATTCCATTCTTCTTCTTTTCTACAATTTTTCTAGACAGGACATCATGTTTCTACCTCCTTCTTGCATGCCCTACATATTCTCTCCTCCTCTTTGAGCCAATATCTGTATCCCAACATTTCCTTTCCAAATCTAAATCTTACCTTTCTTTGTTCTTCATTTACTTTCTTTCTTAAAAAGTGAGCAATTCCTGATCCAGCTATAATCTTATAGACTTGATTGAATTGCTCCCTATCTCTTTCCCAATCTGACCACTCACTCTCCTTTCCTTTTCCTTTCTAACTAACTTCCTGTGCTCCCTTACCAATTAATTTCACCACCTTTATCTATTTTTTTGCTTCATACTTTATAGACTTTTTTCCCTGCTGCTGGTCTTACCTGTACTCTGCCCATTTCTTATCATGTTTCCATGTGACCATTTATCCAGCTGTATGCTCCATCTTAGATATCTCTCTTGGAAACCTATTTTTCTGCTCTCTTTCCCCACCCAATTTCTGTCCCTCAAAGCAGTATTGATTCCACCAAGCTATAAATTCTCATGTTACTTTTCCAGTTTTTGTTAAATTTCCTCTTTACAAATCCCTAGACTTTTTCACTAGGTATCCTTTTCTCATGTGTTCTTTAATCTTTCTCCTGCCCTCCATTTCCTCAAAATACATATTTTTAATATTCAATTTCATTTACCTCATCAATGGATTTGCCTTTCCTTACCATTCTTTTGCCATCCTCTTTCCTCCTAATCTCCTAACATAATCTTTCTCTTTTTCGTATTTAATTCCATTAAGACATCCTAGAAATCATTCCCATGGTTTTATGATGTTCCTTTCTCATCCCTTCCCTCCTTCCATCTATTACCTTCTCATCCTTACTTGGAGCACTGTCATCCATTAATCAGGGTCCTTATTTTCCTTACCAATGCTCCAACCTCTTGCCCTTTCTCATAATTTTTTCATAAAATAGAATACCCTGCATAAAACAGAAACCTCCCTAAACCAGAAATTTTTTTTGTCCCGATCAATTCCAGCTTAGATTTTACTGTACTTTTAAAGTTCATAAAATTTTAAAGATGGATTTCAAGAATTTTATGAATTTGATAACAAGAAATTTAAAAAATGAATGAAGTAAAAATATTTTAATCTGTAAAATTTTCTTAATTGCAGTGTACCACAAGCTTCGATACAACACTACCTTACCAGACCCATGCTATGATAATCGTTGTTCACATCTGTGTGTTGCAATTCCTGGAGGAGAACGTTGTTTATGTCCTGATAATTCAGTATCACGAGGTGGTTCTGAAATGGCATGTGATGCACCTGTGGAAAGAGAACGCCCAGAGCCAAGAGTGTGCATGTGTCAAAATGGAGGCATGTGTCAAGAATCTGATACAAGTAATGAGTTGGAATGTTTGTGCCCGCCAGACTTCCTTGGCACATTCTGTGAAACACATGCTCAAAGATCATGGGCTCCTGGTTCAACAGCAAACACTGCTGCAATTGTTGTTCCTATAGTTGTCATCCTTTTGATCATCTTGGCCGCTGGCTTGGTTTACTTTGTATGGCGGAAACGACCATTGTAAGAAATGTTCACTTTTGAAATTGCTACTAATTTTTAAAATATCATTACTTATCTCTGTTGTCAATCTTTCATATTCTGTTGTATATGAAATCTCAATATTTATAACCTTCTTATGACTCTATAAATAGTGTTTCATATGGCAAGCAACATCAATTTGACTTCATTTTCACAGCAAAGGAACAGGACTTGGTTTATCAAACTCCCAGAGTGTCTCCTTCAGGCAAGGCACAAATGTGGAATTTGGTGCTGCAGCTTTTGCAGCCAATGGTCCTCAGCCAAGGGCAGTAAGTATAATGTTTCCACTGGTTAGACATTTTAAAATAATTCAACAAATATCATTCGAATAAGGGGTTACTTTTTTTTAGGTAAATAATAGACTAAATTGTTTCATATTCAATGCTTCCTCTAGAAACGTACTCAATAATAATAATAATAATAATAATAATAATAATAATAATAATAATAATAATAATATAATATAATATTATAATAATAATGCCATTTGATTATTATTCGCTAATTATCTTCTGAGTTTGCTAATTGATGACATCTCTAGTGATTGTACCCTAATGTCTTTTAAAACCTCCTAACATACTTTTGTTGATAATACTAAATTTTATTATTCACAAACAGAATTTCACTTTGGAGTGCTACAAACTGCAATTAGAGAAATTTCTTCTCTAATAACTACTAGTTTCTCTTTCTTATCCAAAGCAATTTAAGTTAACTGAAAATATTTTACTTATTCTGACACCCAACAATAAGCAAATAATCAAATTATTTTCAGCAACTAAACATTTTGTGTTACGAATATAATATACTCTTGTTAGTTATTTTTATTTAAAGTTATGTGGTAGAGAAAATGTAACTCATTGCATTGATTTTTCAGGAGCCCATGGATGTGGAGTATACTATGGGTGATATAGGTACAAAAAATCGAGACTTCAGTAACCCAATGTATGATGCACTGGGGAACATGGAAGGGGGAGCTCCAACAGGAAATGGAGGAAGTGGTGGAGGAATTTATGAGGTACCTGCAGATGTAACAAAAATGAAAGTTGGCAGTAATGGTGAGGTGGAAACGTTACCACATCCAGAGCCTGCATCAGCTATTCTTGCTCCTTCAAGTGTCATACAGCGCTCATCACCACAAATTCATATTCGACACAGAGAATTAGATCCCAGCTCGACTGATACCGGCAAAGACACACAAAAATTAGTTGAGGAAGATAAGTCAGAGTGTTGAGGTTATATTACATTATGTTAATTCATGTGTGTAACTTCTGAAGTTTATTTTATTTGAAAATAAACGAGAGAGCTATATTCTAAAACAGTTGTTGTCAGGTGAGACAACAGTGATTACAAGCAGGACATTTTCTCATGAAAAATTACTTTAAAATACTGCAAACTACTCCAACAGTGATAACTTGTAATGTTAAAAGACCTCATATTATGACATGTGGCAATAAGTTGCACTATATCTCACTGTTTGAGAAATGGTGAACTGAATGGTGTTGATCTGTGAGGTTGTTGATTTTTATGCTGGTCACAAGTATTATCACAGATAATATATATTTGCATCTTCAAATGATACTTGTACAGAGTTGATGTAAAACATGCATTAAGGGGCTGCCTTGGTTTAGGTATGTTTATTATGTGAACAGACATGCCTAAACCACTCTGAGTATGATGAGAAAATCAATTGTAAAGTGTGTATGAAAGAGATTACAAGTTTGTATGTGTGTGTGTTTGTAAAACTTTTGTACAGGAGATTGTATGAAGATTTTATTCTATAAGATGTGTCAAATGGAGGAGTGGGAATGCTGAACTAAAGCATCCCTGTGTTTGATCACTCATGTTCGTTAAACTACTTATTGGTAACCTGCAATAGAAATACAGAACTGTACTCCACATTGAAAGAAATGATATAATGCAATTCAAAGTGTAACTTGAGTGAAATGATTCACAATATTGTTAAAATGTTTTAGGTAAGTTGTTGAAATTTTTAATGAATTTTGTAATAAACTTTATTATGTTACACTCGCATGCTCCTCATTTGAACAGTGTACTATATAGAGAAAATGTTTGTATGCATGGGTGACAAATCACGTTTTTTCAAAAAGTGTGTCTATCATGATGGAAAATATCCTGAAACATCTTAAGAAAGGAAGAATCAGCCTTATTAAAGAAATTCAAGAGATAGTTATTTTTATATCACTCATGGTGAAAGCTCACTCATCAGGTGTGGTTGTTACAGGGATGCTAAAGCAACTAATGATATCTTCCATAAAATAGAGAATATAAAAGTGTAAATATTTTTAAAAAATAAAATTGTAAAGTAGTGTAGGTATAAAGCTGTTTGACAAAAACACATTTCATTGTCAATTGTTTCCTTAGAGTTCCATAAGGCAACAGTGAGGTAACATAGCATGTCTCAGAATAAATATTATAAATATACAGGGCTTATACAGAACAGTAAAAAATGACAACTTGTTGCCAATGAACATGTAATGGGAAATTTCAAACAGCAGAATTACAAATGTTACTTTTGATCTGGATTGTTAGGCAACATCATATGTATTGATGTTCGAGAGTTACATAAAATCTCCTTGACTGCAACAGAATGTGACCTGGTGAACACTAGTGCATAAGAAGTTGCCTTATGATCAGGAGTGAATGTTAAATCTGTAATTCTGTTTTATGAAATTTCCTACTACATGTTCATTGGCAAATAATGATGGTTTTCAACCTCTCTAAAAGTGCTTGAACTTTGTAACTTTTATTCTGATACATTCTGTATTATGGTATCAAAAATTATTTCATACCAAGCTTTCTTGGGACCATCTGACATAGTATTTTTCTTCACTTTAAAATTTGTTTGTGTAAGAAAAGAAAATGTACTTGCCCAAATTCTTTAGTATCTCATCAAATCACAAACTAAGTTTTTATTTTTGTCATTGTTATTATTATTTATTTAGCTTAATCTTATTTTACTGAAATCTTAATCTGTTTTCTTTTATTCCCACCTGTGAGTTGCTGGCTTGCGACTTTTGAGGAAATAAAACACTATATTCCTCTTTGTGAAATATCTACACAAGACCGTCCAAACAAATCTCTTTCACATTCCATTGTAAAAATACTAGTATAAATGCATGTTTAATTCATATGATGTGACTGTGTTGTGTGATAACTTTTCTAAAGAGAGTGAGAAAAGAACTTTGTTTTGAAAGTGCATTCAAAATATTGTATAGAAACCTTGTGAGGAAAAACAAACAATATCACTTTCTGTCAATATTTTCTGCAGGTCAGAGGCCAAATTAAGAATCCAAAACTATAAATTATGAAGAATATAACTACTAATAAAAATATATAACAAACTCACTCAGATGCCATTTATAAGGTCAACAACTGTTCAATGTACTTACAGTTAACCAAACAATTTTATAGAAGTCCTGCAGCCAGAATAAATTACTCAATGTACAGACTTTTTACCTTGTATTAGGGAACCAGAAAATGAGTTTTTCAGTAAAGTGGACCCATCGGGTTATGTTATTTTTTGAATTTCCGCAAAGTTAATGTAGATCATTCCATATTTTCCATTTCATGAAGACAGTGAAATCTCATTCAAAGCCAGAAGATTCAGATGTAGTTTATATCAATATAATTAGTCTGATTTTGTACACTCTTGGAAAAAATGAGAATTCACTGTATCCCTCTACTTCATCTTAATGTAGGAATCCTTAAAATTATCAGTTTTTACATTCACATATATTTATTGTGGTATAATTTAAAACTCTTCTTTAATTCTTATTCCTTATTATCTTGTTTTCCATATCAACTCATCTTAAATTTGATATTTAAATAAATGGAATTGTGAGGCATAGAAGTTGATAGCTCTACAGTCTTGAAGGTTTCTCGAAACTTGAGATATTTTAAAACATATTAAATGAATGTTGTATATCTAAAGTCGTAAAATAAGGTAAAATTGCATATTGTTATGGTACACAAAGCATTGATTGCTAATTCCAATTTCCCTCAAGATATAAAATTTATCAAGTATTACAAGAATTTCAGCAATAAAAAAGCGAAAGAATGTGTAAATGTGGAGGTATAAATTTTCATTTATGTACACAGGTACTTAGTCATAGGCAATTTAAAACGGCTGAAACTAATAGTTATTTGTGGTGTCTGTGCTCATGTTCACTCATTTCCATTGATCTGCCAAATTTTCTATGTAATGGTGACTAGTCTGCATGTTAGCCATTCTCTTTATCTTCTGACCATGGTGGTAATAATTATTTCCACCATGCTTGTGACTTCACAATTTTCTATACTATGCTACATTAAATAGCATACACAACCCATTTAAAGTCGTGGGGTAGTAACTAAGTAATTTCTAGGCATTTTAGGATCCTCTGGGTTCCCTAGACTTCTCCAAAGGATCATGAAGTTTCTTTTATGTATGTCCTACTAGCAATGCTATATTTCTCCATCGTAATTTACAAATTGTGTGTAGAGCTGCTGAGAGCAATTAACGAGTCAGTTGATCGCCTCGATACATGATCCCCAACGAGGCTACTGACTGTGGATCTTGGCACAGACCCAGAGGTTCCACCCATCACTGGCAGGATTGGGGCACTCCATGAAGTTGGGCTGCCAGGGGAATGACTTATTTCACCGCCTTTTTCTCCCTGCTTTCAGAAGGCTAGACCTATCCTCGTGGCGGACAGTCACGTCGACCACGTGAACCCCTTCCCGGCTTTTTTATTACCAGGTCAAGTTTGGGTCTAACACCTTCGGCAACGGAGAAGTGGCTTCCGTGGACACCACGGCGTCCAATTTCGGGAGCATCTCCCTCTCTACGAAGTTTTGGATCTCGTCAAGTCTTTATTCTTGCTGACTTCGTAAAAATGCACTGATTGAGGATGTGATTAATGGTTTCTACCACTATATTGCTCTTACTGCAGCATACATCCTCTTTGGGCCTTCCTCTACTAAGAGTAGTTTTATTGGCAGTGGTATTTGATCTCAATTCTAGTGTAGAGAAAAGAAGACCAGGTTTCAGAAGATTGTAATCTTTCAAATAGGCATTTACAATCTGACCGTGTATGTGCGCCTTAACCGCTCTCCTTTGGGATCCCAACTTCTCCCAGGCGGCATCCCTTTAACCTTGTTCAGTATATCGCCAGTTGAGTCTGAGTTTTGGCAGTCTTTAAGGTTAATTGGTAGAAACTTAGAAGCTCAGCCATTTGCATACAAACGAGTGAGGGAAAGTATTATTTACGATTGAGTTTTGAAAAATATTACATTTTTCTAAAACTCACTCGTTTTATTTAAGTTTTGTTGCAACTTCTAACCTTTTCCTTTTATTGACTTCATTCGCATAATATTTTCTTCTAGCTACACATCCATGATAGCCACTTTGCTTCAAAAAATTTCACTCAGTACTCGCGTACATTTATCTGCAATTCATTTTTCAAAATTCAAGTTCAGTTGCAGTTTTTAATGCTTTGAATTGTGGATTTATCTTCACTTTCCGTAGAATTGCCCGACCATCTGCTCCACTAAGCATCGAACGTCCACATTTTCTCACGTTTTTCAGTTTTCCTTACACCAAACCTATCAATGACTCCCAGAATGGTATTCCTTGGTCAGCTATGAGAAATTTTCTGCAATGATTTGCATTGATGATAATTTTTCTCTCTTTCAAAGACTTCTGTTTACGACCCAATTCTTCTTTTCATAAAACATACACACCCCTGTCGAGTATTTATCAAACACTTGTGCAAAGCCGCTGCTGTATACTGTTCGTAGCTTCACAAATTTCTCACGAGTCGGGCGTAGGGGAGCTAAAATCGTTACAGTTGTCCTTGCTGTACGAATACTTTTTGCGCCCAGATATTTCACATTTCAGGAAGTTTAATCAGTTTTATCTGCTTTGTACATCGTTTTTTGCTGTTTTTGGCACACCTATGTTGATTTCCGTACACTTATGGTTAATACTATGATGGAAATATCTATTGATTATAAGTTAATTATTGCCTAATAATTACAATAATTGTTAAAATGCACTGGTATACGAATACTTTTTACACTCACTACAGGATTGCAGATTTTTCTTATCGTTATCGTATTGTACGATTTATTTGGTTGTGCACTTGACGTAAATCAGCTGTTGCGGTTTCTTCGAATCGAGAGCTTATATGTCGCTACAGTGCTGTCACACTACAGTGACATTCAAGCTCCCGATTGGACCAAACCGTGAACAGCTGATTTAGGTCAAGTGCATTGTTAAATCCTGGCATAGGTTCAGCGCTATCCTAGGAACGCATTGGGGGAGCCGCATCAATCCCAGTCCTCCATCTCTCTTGGCCAGGTAGAACAGGCCATCTGCAGTACTCGTATGCAGATGTAGGAACTGTTTGACTGCCACTCTAATTTGACCGTCCGCTTCCCTGAGCATCGATATTAAGGCCATCGATAAAAGAAATTGGTATTGGTAATATGTCATTATGTAGGTATGAAGTAATGCAAACTTCAGAGTGGGCTTTAAATGCGCCTTCTAAAACTTCGTCACTACTTCCATCAAATTCGATGGAAACGATGTGGATGCTTTAGATGGGAGGCCGTCCATGATAGAGAAGTTCACTCCCAGGTATGTTAGAGTATGATCATTACTAACCAGAGGAATTCTTTCCCCAACCTTTCCAGAAATGGGTCTCAATGAATAGGGATCGTTCAAATGTAAATTGAAATGAACCTTTCGCGACGGTCAATTTCTTTCGGAGGGCCCAAGTTATTCCACAATTTTCGGGCACCTGGGTCATCTTTTGCCAACAGCACCAATTCGCCAGCAAATGCTAACACGAGTACACTCCTATATAATAGCGCGTATCATAACAATGATATTGACTTTCCTTCTAATTTCACAATCAGGCACTCCATAATGCGATTAAAAAGGAAAGGGGACAAGGGACCCTGTTTTAGTCATCTACGAATCCTATGGCATCTCAATTCCTTTCGAGGGATGCTGAATGACGAGGGAAACTACGGCATAAAGGCCCATTCACAATGCAAACGTAAACATAACCATAGCGCATAGACATAAACATTTACATAAGTGATAGACTGAAGTATTCACATAGCCTAACATAAACGTAAGCAAAATAAGAGTTTCTATTGGATGTGAGACATTCTGATTTACTACTATTGGTAGGATGTGAGAATCGATTTCAAGGTATCGACTGTGTCCATGGCCCGTATAGCGTTAGTTCTTCTATCGGCTTTGCTCCAATTTCGATTCTCGGTTTTGAGTTACCGTTCTGTTATTGGTTTATTCCTTATGTCGTACTTAAGCAGAAGCTTGGAGCTTTTAAGTTAACGTCTTAAGTGTTATGCTTATGCGAACACATTGTGAATGAGTACGCTTATGGACGTAGTCCAAACTTTTATGATATGCCATGCTCATGTTTGTTTGCATTGTGAATGGGCCTTAAGAGTCCATTACCAAATTGGTAAAGGCGTCAGGGATTCCATTCACGGACAGAGCCCACTGAATCGCCGCGTGAGGAACAGTGTCAAATGCTTTGGATATATCTAGTACTGTGCTGACACCACTATCTGCTTTTTTTCATACCACAGACTGCTTCCTGAAGTATTTGAACATTAGCGAAACAGCCAGATTCAGGAATAAACCCATTTGATGTGGATTGAACTTCACCACGAATCGACAAACTTATTATCCTTAGCCTCTTTTGGTATAAGGATGGTGCGATTAGTTTTCCACCCAGCAGGCACAAAGCCAATGTATAAAACTTGGATGTACAATAGGGACAATATTTCAATTTTTGCTCCTGAAGACAATTTGTCCCCCTCTCTTAATTCGGAGGCCGAATCGTGGGCGTTTTATCCCGTATGGATTTGTACAGGTCATTAACCTCATCCCTGTTACGGGGCTGTTAATCGATAATAGCCCAGTCAATGCCCGTTCTAATACACTTTGCCAAAAGCGCTAGTTCACTCTTGAAAATGTCCTGCGCCGTAGCGTAAGAACCGCGCTTCAAGTGCGTTTGCCTCCGTGTCTACGGAGTCTTTCTCAACTGGTGAAGGTGAGTACAGAGGAGCCGCCCAAAATCTCCACTACCTTGGACCGTTTTTGAAAAAATGGCGTTTGAGCGTTTCTGAAAATGCGAAATTTTGAGCTAGTTTTCACAGACAATGGTAGAGTTTTCGAGAAATTTTATATGACATTATTTAAAGCTTATGTGCTCATAAATACAGTAAGGGGAACATCAATCTAATAGTTTTGTTTCATATCTGAAAATCATTGGAATAGAACACATTTAAATCAAAATCAAAACATTGATGAATTATGCAAAGAATTTAATGAAGAACTTGTTAGATAGGTAAATATTATTGTCAATACATTTCATAATTCACAAATCATTTCCATCAAAATATTAAATTACAATGGACTCTAGAATATTAGAAAACTGATTTTAAAGTGGCTACTTGTTGTCATACTTGTAGCACAAATTTTAAAGATCGTGAATAGACTTAAGATCTTTAGGTTTTACCCGTTGTTTTTCTTTAAAGCCAATTGAGCCTAACGTAGATAATTGCATGTACAATTGACCAACAAAGGTATTTACCAAATTGTACAATGATTTTAGACTCTATTTCAAGATAAATGCCTATTTCTGCTGTTTGGTTCCTATAAATGCTTTTCTTTAAATTTCCTGTTAATTTATTTACTACTTGTATTCAATACATAATTACTTATTAAACAACAAAACTTTCGCTCTCTGAATACTTACTGGTATTTAATTTGTGTTTCATACAATGTGGCGTGGTATCATTTAAGCTTAGCGCAACAATAAATAAAGCAATTAGTGAAATCTTAAGATACCACATGCAAAATCCGAACTTCGGCAATGGAATACAATTGCAAACAACAATTGGCCCATGTCAGGTTCTCATAAGCAGTTCTTTGAAAAGAGGCGGTGTCATTTCGTATTCATATAACTGTATTAAAAGTCTTTAGTTAATGTGATAATTTTTGTGTAAGTGCTGCAAAATGCCTAAGAACAAATTCCAGTCTTAAACAGATGGGAAAATAATCATCAGTCAGGTCTGAAATAAAGAGGAAAGCTTTTTACTGCATTTTGTCATTTTTATTATTCACG